TTTCTTTATCCCCAGTATCATCCATCTATATCCATTTGGTTTTCATAATTTTCCATTTCATCATCTGTATTTAAAGGTGAGGTGGAGTCGTGAGATGTTGATAATGAGTAACGATCTTCAATATTATTTTCCATATTATCTTTTTTATTGTATTTTATTTATCAATAGTTTGTTTTTTTTATTTTTAAAATAAAATTAAAATTAAAACCTTTTTTTATTTTTTTTATTTTTATTTTTTTAATTTAATTTTTTGTTTTATTGATTAAATATAAATATAAATATAAATATAAATAATATAAATAATATAAATAATTGAATATATATTTATCATATTGTTATCAATATAAAAGAAAATGTATTTATTCATAAATTGATCTAAATGTTTAAATAATATGTAAATATAATTAAATAATTCAAATAAATCTATTTTTTATTTTTTTTATTTCAAATTTAGGCAGTGTTGTGGGGTTGCCCTTAATAGTGTGTGTTGATATTAATAGATGTTTAGTTTTTTTTGGTAAACATTTAATTTTTATTTTAAAACGATCCCCATTTTATGCATAACCCCCACTAAAAAAACATAAAAATTTATATATCTATTTTTTAATTCAAAAAAAAAAAAAGATATATATCTTCTGTGTTTTAATTTCCACCTTTATACTGTCTTTTTATCAAATATATCAACTAAAAAAATGCCATTTAGATTCTAAAAATAAAAACAAATATATTTATAGATTATTTTATAAAAATTAACAAATAAAAGAAAAGAATAATATAAAGCAACAACAGACAACAATAGGGATAGACAGGTAGCAACAACAACAACAAACAACACACATAAAACAACTACAATATTAACATTAAAATTAACAATAGACAAAATAATAAAAAAGAAAAATAAACCTACAAATTATTTATAAATATAAAAACTAAAATAAAAATTTATTGTTTTATTAAACCTATTAATAATAAAATTTAAATGTCCTATTATTCAGACTTTTTTTTTTTTTTTTTTTTTAACCAATTATTTAAAACATATTGATTATTGAGTTGTCATTCCCAGTGTTATTTTTATTATTATAATTGTGGTTATGATGATATTTGGAACAATTAGTATTATTGCTGCTACTGTTATTATTATTATTATTATTAACACTATTATTACTATAGTTTAGTTGCGGTACATTTCTCTGTTGATTAATATGCTTTTCAAAGATTTCTTGAAGTTGTGTTATTCTTTCATTCATTGAATCGATATCGTATCTTAAATATAGCTCCTCTAAAATGAATTTCTTTTCATTGTTATTAAAATCATGAGTAACTTTATTAAGTTGGTATTCAAAGTTATTAAAAATGTTGTGATGATGATGATGTTGATGGTCAATAATTGAATTATTCTCTGAATTGCAATTATTTATAATGGTTAGTTCCTGCTGAAATTGAATTAATTTCCTATTATAATTAATCTCATTATCTCTTTTCATTTTTAATAGCACCTCTAATTTGTTTTCCAACTCTACTAAATCATTACGAATCTTTTTAATTTCTTTTAATATTGAAACTATATTTGGACTATAATTGAATTTCGATAACGGATGAGAGGGGGGAAACCTAATTTCATCACCATCCAAAATGCAATTGATAATATCACTACTACTATTACTATTATTATTATTAACATTATTATTATTCATTTTTCTATATATATGCATGTGGTAATCTCTTTTTTGATTTACAAAAAAATACTATTGATTGATTGATTGATTGTATCTGTATAAAAGTTTTTAATAAATTGACTTTTATATTTAAATTAAAATTATTTATATTAAAAAAAAAAAAAAAAAAAAAAAGTTTTAATTTTAAAAAATACAACTTCTAAAGTTGGGAAATATTTGAAAATTATAATCTTTGCAGGACGTATTGGGCTCCACAAAAAATATAAAAAAAAACCGAAAAAATTTAATTTTTTTTTAATTTTAAATGCAATTCTTTTTTTTCTTTTATTTGAAAACAAACTTTTTTTTAAACAAATAAAAAAATAAAAATAAACAATAATAAAGATAAAAAATGGTGGGTGTTTTATTTTTATTATTTTTTTTTATAAAATTCGCTAAAATATAAAATATGTAAATCATATATATATTCAAATACATGCAAATACATACAAATACACAAATACATACAAATACATATAAATACAAATACATATATTTATATACTTAATCTTAAAGTATTTATCTTGTTTTTACCAAATCCATTTTATTACCATTTGAAAACAGATAAGTTCATTGTGTTTTATTAAATTTTTTTTTTTAATTTTTTATTTTTTTTTTTTTTTAATTTTTTTTTTTTTTTTTTTTTTAATTTTTCAATTTTTTTTTATTTTTTTTCATTTTATTTTTTTTTCTTAATTTTTAATAATAAAAAAATATTGGTTTAGATCAAATATCATAATAATTAAATTTTGTATATATATAACCTCAAATTAAAGTTAATTGGATTTTTAATACACACCCATACAAATATATTTTATAGAATGAGAAACTCTTTTAAAGTCCAAGAATCAAATAAATATTTAGTCGAATGTAATTAAACAAAATACTACATAAAACAATAAGCAATTATCAATTTTTACTAATCTCCTCAATTATAAATTTAATAATAACAATAGCATGGGAAAAAGCAAATAATGATAGTAAAAGTATTTATTTAGATGCGTTATAAACAATAATAATAAATTATTTAAATGATAAAGATATTAATATAATTTTATTTTTAGAACATGTTGTAAATATAGATGAAAGTACTTATAAATCAAATCTTACAGGTGGTAAAATTTCATTTTTAGATACATTAAAACCACAATTTGAAGCAATAAAACCAGCAACATCATCAGCTACCTCAGGATCAACTAATACATCATCACCATCAAACAACTTTGCATCAAAAAATAAATCATCATCTTCATCAACTACATCATCACCATCAACACCATCAACCAATACATCATCACCATCAACTAATAATGCCAATAATGCTCAATCAATTGGTGCTTTTATCCCAAGAAATATAAATAAACCATGGGGAAAATAATAATTTGCTTATATAATATAATAATATAATTTAAATTTTCAAAAAAAAAAAAATACAATTACACAACTACATTATTCAAATATTTATTAAACAATATCAAAGCATTACAAGACTTACACATACCAATTTTTAATACACCACAACGCCATTTATAAACTGCAACACCAAACCCAAACTATAAATAAAAGATGGATCACCCTTGATTCATTCTTGTAAATATAAAATTTTTTTTTTAAAAAAAAAAAGATTAAAAAAAAAAAAAAAAATCATAGTTTTTCATTTCTTTTACCTTTTATTGGACCTTTTTAATATTTGCCCTCTCTAATAAATGATCAAAATAGTTTACACCTTTTTTTTTCTTTTTATTTTTTTTTATTTTTTTAAAAATATTTTTAAAAAAATCTTTTTGTTTTTTTTTTTTTTTTTTTAAAATTTTATTTTATTTTTTTTATATTATTATTTTTTTTTTTTAATTTTTTATTATTTGTAGATAATAAAATAATAGTTAATTATTTTTTTATATAAAAAAACATCCAAATAATACTTCACTTTATGATATAATAATAATTAAAAAAAAAAAAATACAAACAATAATCATATTTTTCTAAACAATGTCTATTTCAAAATCATCACTCAATTATTGGGTTATTTATAGTTCAAAGTTAGGTCAAAAAGAAGGAACAGAGCATGAAAAAGTATTATTCTTTTATCCACAAACAATTGGTATAGGTGAACAAACTAATGCTGTTGGTATTTCTGAAGCATATGTTTTATTTTCAAAGTAAGTTATATTTAAATACAAAATAATAACAATGTTATAATAATAATAACAACAATAATACATAAAGGATATTATTATAAAAACCGATAGATTTAATAAATAGTACATAGTTTGTTTATAGAGTTATCAATAAAGTATTAATTATTAATTTTTTTATAAATTTTTTAGACAATTTTCACCAGAACAACCATGCGAAATAATTCATACACAAAAATCAACATTATCTTTATATAATCCAGAGGAAGATATATGGATGGTATTATCAGTTAATAATCCAGCAATAGGTACAGCAGGTAAAGATGGTAAAGGTAGAGAGTATATAGAGGATGAAATTAATGATATAGCACTAAAGAAATGCGTACAACAAATATATCAAGTTTGGAATACATTTAATGGAGGCATTAATTCAATGATTTCAAAAGGATCGACCTATGAAATGGTCAGAAAGAGATTAGATAGTTTTATAAAACCATACTTACAACAAATTCAATTTGATCAATTAGATTTATTCTCCTCATTGGACGGCATCAAATTTTTACCAGTAAATAAAAACATCTACCTTACCATCTTTAATTATATCAATAGTGTAGATTTAAATTTTCAAAATAGTTTAGCTTCTTTTAGATTTGGTATTGTGTTGTATAAAGATCATTTAATCCTATCATCTCTAGAGCAAAATGAAACTAGAACTTTATACAACTATTTGGTCAATATGGTTAAAGTTGGGCAAGATCCTTCCTCATCTCAAACTATGATGGTATTAAATAATAGTAATAATGAACCAACTTGGTATACAAAAGGGTAAGATATATTATATTATTTAATATTTATTTTCAATTAATATACTAATTTAATTTTTATTTTTAAACAATAGCCAAAGAAGAACTGGATTTATAAATATGCCAGATTCAAATTCAAAACAACATTTACCATTAGTTTGGTTAACAGATGACAAACCTCAAGTTATGATAATTTATGAACAGAAAGATACATTTTTATTATTCCTTATTGACCCATCAGATTTACCGCAATTGGAATTTGATGAATTGGCACAATCACTTGTACAAAATTTTGAATTTGTTAATCCAACTTTAGAAAGCCATTATAATAAAAGAGCAATGTAATGTATCATTAAATATAAATTAAAGTTTTTTAAATCAATCATATTAATATAAACTGTATTTTTTTCTTTAGATTTGACGAACAATATAAATATATCTATTTCAATCAAATGAATTTAGCAATTAAATCACCCATCAAACCAAGAGGACCAGATTTAAATAAAGAAACAATGAAGCTATTAAATGAAATACATGAAGAGTTTGAAAATGGTTCATCATCAGAAATCATCGTCAAAACTCAACATGATCGTTGGATCGTAGCAAAGAAAATCGATTTTAGAGAGTTTTATATAATGTTTGATAATAAAAACTCTAGTATTTTAGAAATTAATGAAGAAGTTAAAAATGCAACCAACAAATTTTTCAAATTTTTATTTATTGACTAAAAGTTCAACAATTTTAATAATAATAATAATAAAAATAAAAATAAAACACATTATAAATTATAACTTATAAATTATAAATTATAATAAATACAATAAAAAACTACCCACTTTAACTTCATCAAATACAAATGGACGTGTTTATTTAGAGTCTTTTAAAAAATGAAAAAATTTCGTTTGCCAATTTCTAAAAATAAAAACACCCTCTTTTTTTTTTTTATTTTTTTTTTTTTTTATTTGTTTTACAAAATAAAGATTGATAACATAAAATTGTGTTTTAATATTAAATATAAAAACTTAAAAATGTGAAATTATAAATAGAAATTCGTTATATTTCAAATTATCCAAAGGGAAAAAAAAAAAAAAATTAAAAATTAAAAATAATAAAATTATAATTTTTTTTTTATTTTTTTTATTTTTTTAATTTTATTTTTTATTTTTCCTTAAACCTTTTTATAATAAATAAAAATAATAAACAATAACAAAAACAATACCAATAATAAAACTATAGTTTTATAATATTTAAATTTATTTTGTGTGTGTGTGTTTTTTTTTTATTTTTAAATATAAAAACTTTTTTTAATATTTATTTTTTCATAATAACAAAAATAAAAATAAAAAACAGATATATATTTAAATTTCATATATATTTTGAAAAGCAGCACAATCTATTGATTTAATTTTTTCCAAAATTTTTTTTTCTTTTTTTTGTAATAATAATAATATAATCAGTGTTCTATTATCAACATTTATAATATAGTAATATAATAATTAGTATTTATAAATTGATAATCTGAAATTTCCAAGTGAATACTTAAAAGGTAAATATTGGTGTTTATAAAATAGGATAATTTTCAAAAACGATACTATTGACGATACATAACAGTAGTAATCGGATTAATGTCGATGAAAACATTATTTATTTGTCAAGTTTTTCATTATTTTTAACATCACGTTGTTCGCTAATACAAATAACAATCATATACTTTAATATATAACAATAAACATTAAAATAATAATAATAATAATAATAATAATAGCAATAATATAATAGTAATAATATTACAGTCTTATTTGTTTTATAGCGTTGTTAATGGTAGTGGATAATAATTAATTTATTCTATTTAGAGTTGTTTTTTGTTTTTTTGTTTTTTTTTGTTTTAAAAATAACAATTAATTGGTATTCAATCCTGTTATCTTAAAGTTGTAATTTCCAATTTAAGAAATGATAAAAACAACAATTATTGTTTTATAGATAATATTCAATACCCATTAAAACTCACACTCAATCATTTCATTTCGTTTATTTTTATTTTCCCAATTAAATTTTACATATAAATTTACATTGACACAAAAATAACCAATTTATTGTTTATTATATATCTATTTTTAACAACAATAATATTTTGTACTAATGGGGATTCATGTGAATATTTATAACTACACATTATACATAACATTATACATTTGGATTTAATTAATTTATATACTTATATATATGTATATATGTTTTTTTGGTGCTGTGTGCATGATTTTGCAGTTTAATTATTATTTTTTTTTTTAATGTGTGGTGGGGGTTAAATAATATAATAGTAATGTGTGTGTTTCAATGTGTGTGTATATGTGTGTACATTCGAATATTTTTTTTTATTATGGTAATCATGATTATTAATACATAAATAATATTATTATTTTAATGATCTATCTTTTTTTTGTTTGTTATTAATAATTAAAAATAGAATGATATATTTATATACTCAAATATTTAGAATTAAAAAACAATAATAATTTAATAATTTTTTTGTTTTTATTTTATTTTTTAAATTTGTTTCTTTCTTTTTCATTATATTGCATCTAACTAGTTGTTGTTTAGTATTATAGTATTATTTTAAAATATTAAAAAGTAAACCAAATAACTAGTTTAGTTTTTTTTTTATTTTAATTTTTATTTTAATTTAAAATTAAAATTTTCATTCCTTTTTTTCATTTTTTCAAAACTTAAATTTTATTTCAAACATTATATATCAATTAGTAGGTAGTGGTAGTATTTATATATTTCCCCATTTTATTATGTGTTTTTAAAATGTTTTTATATTTTATATTTTTAGATACTAGATTATTTTCGTTTATTTTATTTATTGTAATAAATAAAATAAAAATATTTTAGTTTTTACAAATAATAAAATCATAAAGAATAAAAACAATAATATATATAAAAAAACAGTTAAAATAATAATTGTTAAATTTCATAATCACCAAACAACCTCATCATTTTTTACCAATCACCCAAAAACAAAAGACAAAACCAAAATTAACCCAAAAAATATCTTTTTTTTTTTTTTTATTTATTTTTTTATTTTTATTTTTTTTCAAAATTTTTTTTTTTAATAACATAAATAATAATTTTTGTGTAAATCTAAACCCCATTTTCCTCACTCATTATTTATTTTGATATCATCAATATTAAAATAATTATTTTTATTTTCTAAATATATAAAAAAAAAAAAAAAAATATTAACAATTTTTTATTTTTATTATTTTTAGTTTTTAATAATAATAAATAATAAAAATTTTTTTTTTAAAAAAAATAAAATTGTATTTTTAATGTTTGTAATATATTTAATAAATGGAGTATAAAAGTTCTTTAGATAAACCAATTGTTAGAGATTCAAAAGTTAGAAATGTGTTCCATAAAGTTTGTAAAAAAGAATTGTTTTATACCAATTTAAAAGTTAATACACAATCAGAAGAACTTTTAAAATCATCAAAAAGACTATTTGCATATCCATCATTAGTTGGAGGTATTATCAAATTTATAATTATACCTTAAATTTATTTTCATAAAGATTATTAATAATTTTTTATATTTTTTTTATCATTATAAATATGCAGGAGGATCATGTTTAGCAATTAATAAAATTGAAAATCATGGCAAATCTGCAGATACACCATTTTGTATTAAAGGGCATACAGATCCAATTTCATGTTTCGAATTTAGTAATTTTAATGATCATGTAGTTGCAACTGGTAGTAGAGATTGTACAATTAAAATTTGGGAGGTACCAGAAGAAGGCTTAAAGGAGAATTTGGTCACCCCATTAATTTCATTACCAAAACAGTCAAAGAGAATTACAGGTGTATATTTCCATCCATCAGTGGATTCATTATTTGTATCAAGTTCAATGGATTACAGTATCGATTTGTGGGATTTGGCTCAAGATAATGGAGCTGTAGTTCAAAAGTTAACAGGTAATGAAGATCTAGTAATGTCTGTTGGATGGAATACTTGGAGTGGTGGTGAAAGGTTAGCAACATCATCAAGAGACAAAAAGATGAGATTATATGATCCAAGAAGTTCAAATACACCAATCGCCACTGTATCGACTCATGAAGGTGCACAAGGTTTTAAATTAACATGGGCTGATTCGAATGGTTTAGATTTGCTTTGTACTGTTGGTGCCAATAAAGCCGCTCAACGTCAATTATTCATTTGGGATCCACGTCAGTTACAAGGTGCTCAAGGTCCAGTTGTTTCTAAAAATGTTACTACAGATTCTTCAATTCTCTCACCATACTATGATTATGCTACCAATATTCTTTATTTAGGTGGTAAAGGTGATGGTATTTACTATTACGAGTTGGAAAAGAAAGATGCTCATTTAATTGGCAAAGCCGCTTTTGGTAATGCAACCCAGAGTGCAATTTCTTTATTACCAAAATCTGTCGTAGATGTCAATCTCTGTGAGATCGATAGATTCCTTCGTTTAACTAATAATTGTGTCGAAATGGTCTCATTTATTGTACCAAGAAAATCTCAATTGTTCCAAGAAGATATATTCCCACCATCCCCATCTGGTGATCCAACTACCGATTGTTCACTTTGGTTCCAAGATAAAAATCTCAAAGTTATACCACATACTACTTCAATGAAGCCAGAGGGTGCCACTTCAATTTATGATGTATCAGAAGAGGAGGGAGGTAAAAGTAAACAAAAAGATAAATTAGAACAACTTCAAAGTAACACATTAAATAATAAGGAAACCTTTATTACAGAAGGTATTGTTAAACAGGACATTGAAGGTTGGTTATTTAACACTTATGAACCACGTTATTTAAAGATTGTCAAAGATAAAATTTATTGTTTCCTCAATGAAGACTCAGCTCAAGCTAATTGGGAAGTTGCTATTAATAATATTAAATATGTAGATATTTATCAAGATCCAAATTCAGGAGAAAAATTAGACCCAGAATGGGCTACTCGTTTCAATATTATTTTATCAAATGGAAAAGAATATAGAATGGAATGTGGCTCTATTGAACAAAGAGATGCTTGGACTACTTCAATCAATGCACACAAGGAAATGAAGACCCAGCTTGATAGTCAAAACACTTCACCAACATTAGGTGAGTTCCATTTGGTAAACACTACTCCAAATAATGCTGCTTCCCCAATGAATATTTCAGAAAATAATAATAAGGCATTACCAAAGTTTGGTGCACCACCACCATCATCATCATCTAAACCACCACTTTTACCACCATCGTCATCATCACCATCAACCTCATCCCCATCAACTTCATCCCCATCTACTACACCAGGTTCAGGTACCCCAACAGCTACCAGACACAGCGTTTTATCAAGAAATCCATCATATACATCATTAAAACTTTCAGGTGGTATGTCTAAACCATCAACACCAAACAATAATGCAGTAGCATCACCATTATCAATTTCAGCAAATAATGGAGGTGGTAGTTTAAATAATTCAACTGGTATGTCGGCACCATCTTCATCATCCTTATCATCTAGCACAGGTATCAAACAAAATGAAATTGTTATTGAAGGTGCATTGACTGAATTAGTACCAGGCCTACTTTGGAATTCAAATGTTGAAAAATGGTATGTTGTATCCGAAGGTATGCTTTACGGCTATAAAAATAAACAATTAAAAGCATTGGATCCAATTGAAACTATTCATTTAGAAAAAGCAATTTCAGCTCATAAGACAAAAGAAATTTTTACTATTCAAGGATTTAGTTTCCAATTATCAACACCAAATCGTATTATTCATTTACTCTCTAAAACTAAAGAGGAACGTTCATCATGGTTATCAGTTTTAAAACAAAATTTAAAGAGCTCAGGAGAATCAAAACCAGCTAAACTTACAAGAACTCCAACTACTGAAGAGTTAGTTTCAGCTCCATTAGATGATGAGAATAATACAAATGAAGGTGGTATTGAAGAGGAAGAGGAAGAAGAACAATTGGAAGGTCAAATGCAAAGAAAATTACCAGGTATCTTCTCAATGTGGGGACAATGCTTTGTTTCATTATTAGCAGAGGATTTATTTGTCTCTAAAAATAAAATTTCAACCGCTCCAGAATTACGTATTCAATTATCAAGTATTTCAGCCATTAAAAAAAATTCACCAAATGAATTTACTCTTTTCGATGGAAACAATGCTGTTGTTTGTAATTTCCGTACTATTTTACCAACTGAAGATTTTGATGATTGTAAACGTTGGATAGAAGGTTTAGAGGCAGCTAGAAAGCGTTCCATTGATATTATTAAAATGTTTGGTATTAACGAAAAAGAAGTATTATCATCAAGCGAAATCAGTCATGAAGAAGAGAATCTTGCTCGTTTCTTAGATATCAACGCAATTAAAAATGGTAAACAAAAGGTTTTGATTCAAGTCAAAGGAAAAAGAAAGATTCGTGTCAGAGTTGTTAAACTCTCAAGTTCATCATTAAATACTCATAACTCATTTATTCTCGATGCTGGTCCAAGAATTTTCGTATGGGCTGGTAGCAAAGCATCACGTGTAAATAAAGCTAAAGCATTAGATTTTGCAAATAGAATTCGTCAAAAAGAAAGAGGTGGTAAATCTACATTAATTCAATTTGATGAAAATCGTGGTGATGATCAATCAATGGACTTTTGGGATATCCTTGGTGGTAAACCAACATCACCAATTGCCACAACACCAACTCCAGAGGAACAAGATGCTGAAAATATTAAAACCTCAATCTATCGTATTGGTTTAGATAGTAAAAAGAACTCTTTACGTGCTCGTTTAGCTTGGGAAGGTAGTGATTGGCGTCTTCCAAACAAAGAAATCCTCAATACCAAATTTGTATTTGTTATTGATTGTGTCTCTGAAATCTTTATTTGGGTCGGTAAAGAATCATCATCAATGCAAAGAAAAATGGCAATTAAGGTCGCATTAGTATTACAAGCCCAATCAGACCGTACCGATTGGACTAAAATCACCAGAGTCAATGAATTTGGTGAAAATAATCTTTTCAAAGAGAAATTCGCAAATTATCCAGGTATGTTACCAATCTCTACCACCAAGCAAGAAATTAAAAACTATGTTGCAACTCAAAAAGCTGAACATAAGCTTGAAGTTTTATCTGGTCGTCTCAATACTCCATTCGTTGACAATGAAGTTATATTTACCAATGAAAGTGGCCGTATAAAGATTTGGAAAATTGAAGACTATGAAAAGATCGATCATCCACAATCACTCTATTCAAACTTTTACTCTGGTGATAGTTATATCGTATTATATACCTATATGCTTAATAATAAAGAGGCTCATGTCATTTATTATTATTTGGGTAGAGATAGTACAATCAACGAAAAAGGTACATCAGCTTATTTAACTGTTGATCTCCAAGAATCATTAACTGGTAGTTGTGTTCAAGTTCGTGTTGTTCAAAATAAAGAATGTCGTAACTTTTTAAATTTATTCAAGGGTAAAATGATTACACACAAAGGCAAATTCAATAAATATGATGCTAATCAAACTGCTCTTTATCAAGTTAAAGGAAAAGATAGTATTGATTGTCGTGCTGTTCAAGTTGATGCCTCCTCATCAATGTTAAACACTTTAAATAGCTATGTTTTAACCAATGGTAAAGATAAAGTATTTATTTGGAATGGTAAATTCTCATTGGAGGTCCAACAACAGACATCAAATAATATTGCAAGAATTTTAGCAGAATCAAATAATAAAGAAATTATTACAATCAGAGAAGGCCAAGAAACTGACGATTTTTGGAGCTTAATTGGAGGAGATAAATCTCTTGATAAATATTTCAATAGTTTAACAATTCAACAAAGTACTATTCCAACATCATTCAATTATGAATCACGTCTTTTCATTTGTAACAACTCATCAGGTATCAATGAAATTAATGAAGAATCACCATTCTCTCAAGATGATTTAGAAATTGGTTCAGCATGTATTTTAGATGTTCAAAGTCATATTTATATTTGGTTAGGTACTCGTTGTGCTCATCGTGCTAAGCGTGCTTCAATGGAAGCAGTTTTAGATTTTATCAAAAAATCCAAATTTGGTCATTCTATGGAACACACTAAAGTCCAAATTATTGAACCATTCCACGAACCAATTGAATTTAGAGCATACTTTAGAAGTTGGTGTACCTCAAAATATCCAAAGAACAAATTACCACTCGTTGAAAAACCAGCCATAGATGTCAACATTATTCTTAAAGATTACCTCAAAGAAATCTATTCATACGAAGAATTATTAGCAGATCCATTACCAGCAGGTGTCGATTCAACCAAATTAGAAAATTATCTCTCTGATGAAGAATTTGAAAAAGTTTTCAACATGAAGAGATCAGAATGGGAAAAAATTCCAACTTGGAAACGTGAACCAATCAAAAAGAGTTTATATTTATTCTAAAAACAACTTTTTATATATAATAATATTTATCACCACTCTATATAATAATATAATATAATATATCTTAATTTATATATTTATTTTTTTTAACCACTAAAAAAAAAAAAAAAAAAAAATATTCCATATAAATATGTATCTATTTATTAAAAATAAAAATCATTTGTATAAATATATTTATTTACATAAATATAACTACTAATTTTAAAATCATAATTTTACCTCCAAAATTGTTTCATTATTTTAAATTTAAAAAAAAATTTTTAATTAAATTTTTTTTTTTTTATTTTTTTATTTTTCATTCTTTTTTATTTTTTTTTTTTCTAAAGATCGTTTATATCAAATAAAATATTCAATTTATACATGAAATAATTAATTTTATAGCATACAAAATAATAATAATAATAATAATAATATTTATAAAATAATAAAATGCCACCACTCAATAATAGTAATAAAACTGGTGTTACAACAAGCAGAGGCAGAAAAAAAGTAGTAGCAACAAACAATAATATTGATAATAAAGAGAATGAATATAACGACGAAAATAGCGATGCCAATATAATAAAAACAGTTTTAAAACCCACCACAAGAAAGGTAACCACTGCAACTAGAAAACCAGCAGCGACTAAAAGAAAAACTGCACCAATCGTCCCACCACCAAATACAGACATTCTCGAAGTTGACAGTAACAGTTTACATAATAAAATTAAAATTATATTTGAAGATAATTTAAATGAAAAGTCATCAATAAAAGAATCACTTAACGAATTAAATAAATTATATAAATCAATAGACAGTAATGAAGAGCTTGAATCGATAGTATTTAGAATAATAGATTTGGTATTACTTGACAGCAATAATATGAAATTTTTAAATTTATTAATACCATTTATAACAAATCAATTAGTAAATAATAATAATAATAATAATAATCAAATTTTTTTTAATAATATAACTAATCATTTAATAGAAAGATCAAATAGTAAAAATATTCCAATAAGAATTAAAACCATTCATTTAATCCAACTTATAATTTCAAACTTTAAAGAAATTCACCAACCAATTAAAGAAACAATAATTATAAATTTAATTAATTGCCTTTTAAATAAAAGCAATGATTTAAACTATAAAGTCAGATTACAATCAATTTATTCAATTTCAGCAATTCAAAACTATTTAAACAATATCTTTTTGAACAACAATAACATTAAAAGCAATAATATTATTGAACTTAATTGTTTAGTTAATTCAAGATTAGTAGAAATGCTTAAATCCGATAAATCAATGTAAGTTTTTTTTTAATTTTTTTTTTTTTTTCTAATTTTAATAATTTTTATTTTATTTTTAGTGAAATTAAAACATTGGTTTTAAAAACTATAAAATCAATAGATAAAGAATCAACTTTGGTTATTTTAGAATCAACATTAGAAAGTTGCTTACCAGTAAGAAGAGAATCATTTTCAACCATTTCAAGAGTAATTAATTTTGATGATATTTCAGCTGAAAAAAGAATTGATTTATTATACAATGGTTTACAAGATATAGATAAATTAGTTAAAGAATCGTGTTCTAAAATGCTTATTGAAAATTGGTTAGAAATCTCTTCATCAAATAACATTTTAATTGTAAGTATTATTCTCTTTTGAAAATATTCATTATTTTTTTATACTTATTATTATTTCTTATTAGTTTTTAAAAAATTTAAATGTTTGTTTAGAAAATGAAAAAAAAATAGAATTAATTTTATTTGAAATTTTCTCAAAGGGTAGATTTGATATCGACAAATGTACAAATTATAAATTAGTTAATTTAAGTAAAGAGGAGTCGATCCATCTTCGATGCTTGGTTCAATTTTTAAAAAAACAAAAGAAAAATCGTAATGACAGCAGCGGTGGTGATGACGATCAAGATATATTCGAATCAATTTTATCAAGTACAATTACAGAATTTACTTCAATTTTATTACATTATCTTTCAATTGATGAAAAAAGAAAAATTGGTTATACTTATGAAGAGATTTTAAATGAAATGACAGAAATTAAAGTTGGAAATGGTGGTAATGATAGCAACAATAGTGATAATGAAAATGAAGAAAAAGAAGATGCCAATTATTATAATGATGAAGATTTAACATTCATCCAAACTCAATTAATTTCACTTTCCCATTATTTAGATTTTTCAGACGAAGCAGGTAGATTATTTTTATCAGATATCACTCAGAAATTATTATTATCAACATTTTTAAATGATATTCACTTAACACCATTGATGGAATTATTATTCATATTACACTCAAATGACCATAGAAAGTATCTAAGTATCGTTAGAACAAGTTTAGAAAAAGTTTTAGAAACCAGACCTGACGTTTCGAGCATTTATGAAATCGAAAATGAAATCACTCAAGTCAAAAACGAAGTTGATTACTATACAAAGAAAAGAAAGTTCTTCAAAGATAAATTGAAAAATTCAAATAATCCCCATTTTGACGAAAAATGTAATCAAAAGCTATTACAATATAAACAAAATTTGGTCCAAAGTGTTTCAAAATATAATGAAATAATTGAAGAATATAATTCATTAATTCTTTTTGAAGAAAAGTTTTGGATCAAGTTATCTTTTATTTTAAATAATTTTATAAAAAAAATTAATGGAGTAAGTAATAATATTATTAAATATAAAAAAAAAAAAAAAATTAATAAATTTATTTTATTTAGTCTTTAAACAGTGAAATTTATTCAATGACCAGTCCATATTTCAAATTAATTACCGAAAATTGTGTAAACGATATTGAAAATCCATTAATTATCAAGATATCAATAGAGAACATTATTTTACAATCTCTCTTGACCAGATCAGATTTATTGGGAAACTGTAAAATTTTATTAAATGTTTTAAACAATGACAGTGATGGAAATAACGATCAAGATGACCAAGAAAAACTAAATATCTATCTACTCTCTATTCAAGTATGTATTTCATTCATATAAGCTTTAATAGTTAAATTAATCATTAATTTTTCTTTATTATTTTTAGGGTTTGTTTGATATTTTATTATGGTATGGAAGTAACTTAAATAAAAAAAAAGAAGAAGAAGAAGGGGAAGAGGAGGAAAATGAAGAGGATAATTTAAATGATGAAGAAATCATATCATTTAAATTTGTTTTCAATCAACTTTTACATCTTTTAAAGAGCTTAGAGAATGATAGCGTTGAATTTTTTGGTAAATTTGAAATAGAATTGAAATTAATCGAAGGTTTTTCAAAACTACTATATAATCAAGTTTATTTTGAATCAGTTACAGATTTATATAATAATAGTAATGGAATCAATAGCAAACAGTTTTCGATCGAAAAATATAAATCAATATTTTCAGTTTTAGTTGGTATTTACTTTAATCCTCTTCATAAAGAAAAACCTATTCAGTTATTTTTAGTTTCTTTTTTCAGTTTATTAGTTAAATTACCAAATCCAAGCAATAAAGAAAGAGAAAGAGAAAGAGACTATGCTTTTATTCTAGAGCTTTTTGAAGAGTCATTCATATCCTCATTACAAATACTCTTAAAGAATTCTGGTGTAGCATCGACCCCAAATTTAGTTAAATTTTACCAATATTTTATTCAAAATATATTAAACAATCAATTAAAATTAACAAACAATGAAAATACAGAAGACAAGGAACAACATCAAATAGACAATAATCAAATGGAATTAAAAATCAATGAAATCTATTATACATTACTATTTAATCTTTCATTAGAAATCATTTCAGATCCAGTTTCAAATAAATATCACTGTAAATTATTTTCACTTTTTCAATTAAATCAATCATTAGTTTCAGAAGAATTGGTTCAAAGATTATTATTCCTTTCAGAGAAAATGCAAAAAGAGATCACTGTAAAAACATATAATAATCAACTTATCAAATATCACAAATATTTAAAATCATTAGTTTCCAATGATAACGAAAGTACCTCATCTCTTAATCAAGATGATAAAATCAAACTACTAGAAACTTTGATTCAATATAAAAAGAATATTCACGTTCCATTAAATACTCTATCAAGACGTAGGTTTGCAATTATTTCAATTTTATCACATTAACATTCTCTAATTTTTTTTTTTTTTTCATTTTCAAAGGAAACTCTACCAGAAAATCATCATTAAAGAAACCAAAGGTATCGGATATAGAGGATGAAAGTAGCGAAAGTGAAATCGAAAATGAAAGTGAAAGCGAAATTAGTCAAATTGCAAGTGATAATGAAAATGAAGAATATGAAAACAATGATACTGAGAATGTTTTAGATATTAGCACTTTATCAATTTCAAAAGAAAAAACATCAAATTTAAAATCAAATAAAAAGAACTCTAAAATATTTGATTCAGAATCTGAAGAGATATCCGAGGATGAATCAAATCTATCATCACAGTCTAGTACCTCTGAATCAGAATCATCACAAGAGTCGTCTGATTAAAAAATTTAAATAAAAAATAATTTGTAAATAATAAATAAAACATTAAAATGTACACACATAAATTTTTTATAATAAATAAATAAATAAGTTTTTTTTAATTTTTATTTAATAAAATCTCTATGGATTTTATAATTAAATCAGGTTGGTTAATTGGAACAAAATGGTCTGTAGAGTTTAATTGAATCGAATTTGAAGATAATTTTGTAATTTCTATTTGTCTATTATACCAATCGGGCTCTTCTACAGGGTTCGATGAAATTACAACTAATGGTAATTTACCTAATGGTTTACATGGAATCTTTTCATATTGACTTTTTAAAAACATAGCATTGGGAATAAATTGACTCAATTCTTGAGCAGCGGCCAAGTAGTAATTGTCATAAGAATTTAAAATTATTTTTTGGGTTTTTTCTACACAACTTTTTGGTAAACTTGTATTTGAATCCATCCATCCTTGTTTTAAAGTTATAATCCCAAAATCGGTTAATTGTTCTATATACTCTTTTGGTGATGGAACAACACTTTGTAAAATAAAATCGATCTGACTGGTTATATTATCAAAACTCCATTTTGGGTCATAAAGTGAACCAATATCACTACTATCGATTAATAATAAACCTTTAATTAAGTTTGGATATAATGTTGCAAAAGTTTGACCTAATAAACCTCCATATGACCAACCAACATAATAATATTTTGAATTATTAATACTTGGAATGGTTTGAATAGAAGCATATAGTTTTTTTATAAACTGTTTTGAATTTAATGCAACTGGTGATAATTCTGACCATCCATAGCCATATCTATATTTTAAAAAAAAATTAATTAAACTATTTTTTTACAAATTTTTTACTATGAATTATTTACCTATCAAAAAAACAAGCATTTGAAATTTTTAACTTGTTCATTGTGTTGTTTTTTAATAACATTTCAATTACGTTGCCATATGCTGTTGAAAAAAGTGGTAAACCAGAATCGAATAATAAGTTTTCTCCATCATTTTTTGAGATTTGTTTATTTGTGTAACAACGGATATGAAGTTTTAAATTATCAATCATTGGAAAATAACTATAACCACTGTCAAATTCACCCAACAAATTTGGAAATGGGAAATTTAAATCTTTATCTTTTTGGCAATTAATAAATTTAATTAAAAATAAAAATATAAAAAATTTAAATATTGTTTTAATCATTCTTCTTTTTCTTTTTTGGTTGATGTATTTGATTATTTTTTTTTTTTTTTTTCCAATTTATATTTTTTTTTTTTTTTTTAAATATATTTAAAAATAGAAAATAAAATATGTAATTAAATTTAATAATCAAATAAAACTTTTTAAAATTTTAAAAAAACTAAATATAATCTAAAAATAAAACCACGCTTACTCACACCTAAAAAGACATACACATACACATATACTCGTTAAAGTCCACACACCAAAAAATAATTTAAATTTTTATATCTAAGAGTTTTTAAAAGTATCATGTGGGTGGGGGAATGGGTGGGGGAACGGAGGTTGTTCGAATTATTTAAACTTTATATAATTAATTTTAAAAAACTTATTATTATTAATATCATTATTATATCACAATTATTATAATGCTTTGATTTCTGGTATCGTAATAATAATAAAAATAATTATTCACTAATTAGTGTAAAATAATAGTATTAATAATAAATGGTGATATTTTTAATTTTTAAAGAGTAATTTATTCGTTTAAAGAATATTTTTTTTTTATTTTTTAATTGTAATTTTAGTAATTTTAATTTTTTAACTGTACCCTTTGTAGTTGCTGTTATTTAAGTTTGTGAGTTGTTTCTTATATTTTGATATTTATATTTTGATAAAACCCTATTGAATACCAATATTCCCTCAATAATGTGAGTGTGTGTTGTTTTTAATTTGAAATTTTATTTCCTTTAATTGTTATTAATTATTTTATTTATATTTTATTATTGTTATTTTTTTATAGAGTAGTTATTGTTATTTTTATTTTATTACGACATGTTGTACTGATTCATGTTATTAATAATTATATCTAGTTTTTTATAAAAACCTATATATATAGGGTGGCGAGAAGAGTTTGCATTCAAAGTATATTAATTAAATGATTACATCTATATTAATAAATTTATCTCTATAATTGTATATTCTTTGATAATAAATCCCAATAGTAGTATACTTACATTGCACAAATCTGTCATCATCATCACACTCATCATCATGATAACAATAATATTATTATAATAATTTACAAATTTAGTATACAAATAAAAAAAAATTAAAATGATTATGTATATTTATAGGTTAACGATTTGTTTTTACACTTTTTCATTAGGATTATCTTTAAATAATAAGACATTGTGTGCCCCAATAAAAAAGTAGAGCATTGTATATATGGGATAAAAAAATAAAAATTAAAAATTAAAAAATTAAATTAAAATAAAATAAAAAATAAAATTAAATAATTTAAAAAAAAAGTGTTAAACTTTATACAATATAATAATAATATTAATATTTTTTAAAATATTAAAGTTATAAAAAGAAACAAGTTTTATTTTAAAAATTAAATGTAGAATCAGTGTAAAAAAATGTATTCAAAAACAAAAATATATATTAAATTTATTTTCCTTCATATAGTTAAACTAAAATAAAACCCTCCTTACTTGATACAAATTTTTATAAATAGAAATATGCAAATATATAAACCTTTGAATCGAAAAATGAAATAACTAAAGTGATGGCAACCAGGTACCAACTGAATCAGTAAATATCCTAACTGCCTATCAATGATAAAAAATTAATGAACAAACCCAGAAACAGAATATTTGTGTAAAAATAACCATGAAATTATTCAATTACAACTCAAGAAATGAAAATTCATTTTTATTACCCCAAAATTCAACAAAACCAAGCACCCATATAAAAACCAATAGATTATATCTTAATCAGAAAAGAAAAATATCTTTAAATCTTTTCATTCTGGCTTATTAATAAAAATTTATTTAAAGTTATTTTTTAATATATAAATAGCCAAATATACAACTTAAATTTCGAATGTAATTTTTTTTTAAATAGAATTATATAAATTTTTGTTTTTATTATTACCAAATATAGAAATCTTTTGGTACTATTTATTACTCTGATCATATTAAACTACTCTATTTAGCTTTAAATGTAATGTTTCTATTAAAAATAGTGCAATAGATTTGCACAAATAAAAAAGTTTGAAAATCTAAAAAAATTATTTTAATAAAAAAAATTTTAAAATAAAAATAATTAAAATTATTTTAGTTATTTAAAAAATAAAATAATTAATTTATTATTAATATATATAATAAAAATGTAAATTTACATTTAACAAAATTTTAAAATAAAGATTAAAAAAACTAATTTTATTTAATTTTTTAGGAATAATTTAAAAATTAGCATATTATTATTTACAATTTTAAATTTATGTTCTGTATATGGTTATTCTAATGAAATCGAAATGATTTCATCCAATGCCGGGTGTAGATTTTGCACTCTTTTAACTGATGAGCTAATTAAAATTGCCAAAAGTAGCCAAAACAAAGGAGATTTTATTCTACTCTTTGATGAAACATGCAAATATATTAACCCTAAAGGAGAAATGAGCCAATTTTGTATAGATCGTAATAATACAGTAGAATTAATTTATGAAAATAAATTAGATTCATTTTCAATCTGCAGTGAATCAATATGTAAAATAAATTTTTATAATGAAATAAATAAAATGGTTTTAACTCAACAAACTACCCAATTTAATGTTTCTTCAATTTTTGGAGGATGCACTTTATGTAAAATTTTATCAACAATTTTAATAGATGGGGGTGAATATATTGCTATTTGGACTGGGTGTTCTAAATCTGTTGTGGGAGCACCTATTTGTATCGCAGCATTAAATTTAATCAAACTAATAATTGATAGAAATTTTGATAGTGCAAAAATTTTATGTACTTTAATACATTTTTGTGTTTAATATTATTTCCAATATTTTTAATTTTTAAATAAAAAAAAATTTTATTATTTTTTAAAGTGAAATTATATAAATAAATCAGTTTTCAGATTTATCCAATTTATTAGTAAAGGGGCTGTATATTTTTTTTTAAGAAATCTTACCTATGCGGGGAGAAAAAATGTGATTAGATTACAATAAAAATAAATTGCATTGAAGAATTTGAAATTTCTTCATTATTGTGATTAATAAAAGTCGACTTTTATTTATTTATTTTAAATTTTTTTTTTAGTTATTTACTTTCAGGTTATTGTAACAATCTATGCACAAAATGGATTGTGGTGATTGTAAGGGAATTTCAAGTTTATAGATTGTGACAAATGGATGTTCAAAAAATATTGCTAGAATTTGATCGATATTTGTACTCTTGAAAATAACACAAAAAAGTCAACTGATTTATCTTGAGCCAATGGTACTTTAAAAATGAGGAAATGGTGCTGTGATTGCCAATTATAAAATTATAAAAATTTCTTTTTTTAATTAATTTAAAAAAAAAAAAGCAGAAATAATTTTAAGCTTTTTTATTTATAAATATTTTATATTTAAAAATAAATATTTATTTATATTAAAATATATAAATATATAAAAAAGAAAATCTAAATGATCACCTGGAAGATAAAAAGAATAAGCGAAATAAATATCGGTTTTTACACATCTTTGGAAGTTGTTGGACAAGATTATTCTCCAACCTAAAAATTTAATTGCTCACTCCATATTCGCATTGTAACTCACCGACCAATTTGGTCTTTGATGAAGTTATTATTGGTAGCGCAATAATTTTTACAAATTGAAACTATTTTCAAAAAAAAAATTTTATATTGAGCATATAAACTTTGATTTTATGGGAAAAACTAAACACTACTAGTTTGTTTTTAATTAAAAATTATATTAAAAAAAAAAAGTGTGTGGTGGGATTATAATTTAATTTTTTATTTTTTATTAATTTTTTTTTTTTTTTTTTTCCAATCATTCTTTATAATTTCAAAATAACAGAAACAAATAATAATACTTAAAAAAAAAAACTATTAAAAAAAAAAAAAACTTATTAAAGGTGAAGATTATAGGGATGAGCCATTAAAAGCAACACAAGCTTATCTCGAATCAGGTTAGAAATTAGAAGAGATTATTGGACAGTGATTGGTGTGAAAAATATAAAAGATTTAGAAACTGCCCACAAAAGATACCCCCAGTTTGCAATCAATTTTAATTTCAAAATTCATTTCATCTTCTAAAGTTGGTTTAGGTTTTAATAAAGCTGTAGATTGGTTTTAAATCATCTATTTCGATAATTTCAAAGGCTGCAATGATAAAATTAGATGTTATGGGTAATGAAATAAACAATTACTCATATTTTTTGGGTAATAAATAAATTTAAATAAACAAATTTTATTTTTTTAATTTATATTTTCAATTTTATTTCTTTCATTCATTAATTATTTATTATATTACAAATTAATATGTGGTGTATTAATGTCAGATGCAAATATATAAAAACATTTAAAATGTTTTTATTTATTAAAAAATACTTATTTATAAAAAAGATACAAGAATGGTACATAGGTTGGCGATAAAGCAACATTCCTTACTGCTTTTTAAAAATATCTTAGATTATCACCTGGAAGATAAACTTGTAAAATATAATTTAGTTGCTTTGAGGATCGAACTCAAATTAACAGATTCAGAGTCTGCTGTACTAACCATTATACTAAGCAACTTTTTTTGTAACATATCCGAAGACAAATTAAAAAATTTATACCCTTTATTTTTTTATTAAAAGAATTAATATTAAAATTTTTGTATTTGTTTTGAGAAATTATATTTTTCCTTTGAATATTTTATAAATTTAAAAAAAAATATATAAAAATAAAAATAAAATTAAATAAAAAAAATTAAAAAATTTCAAATACTAAAACTAAAACTTAATACTTAACACCACACAATATCCTAGATTTCAAAAGATTTATTGAATTAAGAAAACAGGAGGCCTTAACAATTAAGAAAACAATTTTAATTAAACTATTTGAGTAAAAAACTCATCTAATATTCTTTATTAAACTTTAATAAATAAACCATAATCTTTCAAATATTATTTAACCCTTACTTTCAATTTCTTTTATCTCATTTTTATTTAAATATTTTAACTTTTTAAAAAAAAAAATTTTATTAATTAGTCAAGAGTCATGGTTTATAAAATTATTAAAAAGGGTTCATATACTATTAACATCTTTTTAATTATTTTTTTATTATGATTTTTTACAAATTTTAAAATTAAAGTTTTATTTATGTGAAATGGTGGTACCCAAAAGAGCAACAAAAGCTTGAAGCATTTTTGGATGAGCTGGCCAAGCTTTACCAGAAACAATATTACCATCAACAACTGCATCATCAACAGCACAATCTTGATAATTACCACCAGCTTGGGTTAATTCTGGTTTACAAGCTGGATAGGCAGTACACTTCTTACCACTAACAACATTGGCAGCAGTTAAAATTTGGGCACCATGACAAACTGCAGCAATTGGTTTTTTAGCATCGTTAAATTCTTTTGTAATTTCTAAAACTCTTTCATTTAATCTAAGGAATTCTGGGGCACGACCACCTGGGATATAAAAACCATCGTAATCAGCAACTTTGACTTGTTCAAAATCGAAATTGATTTGAACTCTATGACCTTTAAGTTCCTATAAAATATAAATTATTAATAAATTATTTCCTTGATTGTTTGTTTATATTTATTTGTTTATTACATACAGTATAAGTTTGTTCACCTGGAAGGAAGTCATGTACGGCAGTAACAATAAAGTCACCTGATTTTTTACCTGGTGAAACAATATGAACTGTATATCCAACAAAAACTAAAGATTGGTATACTGAATATACTTCATAATCTTCAACGTAATCTTTATAATTTTTTAATTAGTATTTGCAGAAACTATACTTTTTATTTTACTTTATAATACATACCACCGGCAATAATTAAAATCTGTTAATTAACAAAAAAATTATTAATATTTTAATTTAATATTTAAAATCAATAAAAAATTATTATACTATACCTTTTTTGTCATCTTTTGTGTGTGCGATGTTTTTAGCAATAATTAAATTAAAGCAAATTTTTGAAAAAAAAAAAAAAAAAAATATAAAAAAAATTTTAATTTAAAAAAATTTTATTTTTTTTATTTAATTTATCCATCATCTTCCATCAAAAAAAGATAAATGGAAAATAAACTATAAAACTATTAATAATAATATCTATACTTTACTATTTAATTAAATTAAAATAATATTTGTAAAATAGATAATTTAATAAATTTTTAAACCACCACCACACCAATAAAATTATTATTTAATATTTTTTCACTTTAATGAGGTGGGTTTCGGGGTTAAAATGCAGGATTCCTAAGCCATTTTTCATATCAATTTTTTCTAAAATAAACCAAAGGTAACTATTCTATAAATAATAAAAATATTTTTTTTTTTTAATATTTTTTATTTTTTAAAAAAAAAAAATTATTTTTTGTTGATATACAAATAAATTAACCTTTTTAAATAATAATAACAATAAATAGATTTAAAAATGAAAATTTTTAATTTAGTATTAATATTTTTATTTGTATCCTTAGTAAAATGTTTGGAGATTAAAATAGAAAATTTAAATTGTGGTTTTATGTTTTTGGGTGCAACTCTCCAACCAAATACATTTTATTTCTCCACCACCGATGGAGAAAAAAACTATATTTATAAACAAAAATATGAGGAAACCAAATCAGAACTATTATATTTCGGTGTCGTAGATACCAATACAAAAGAACCATTATTAATAGAGACTCAATACAATAACAATATGGTAAGTTTTAAAACTATAATAAAATAAGAAACATATAATAAAGATTTAATAATATATTAATAAAATATTTTATTTTTTTTATATAGTTTGCAATAAAAGGTTTTTTAAATGATTCTTTTTCAAGTTACAATTTGGATTTATATAATTACTTTCCAAGACAAAATGGTGAAGAACATGGTTTAGTAAAACAAAAAACCACTGGGTGTATAAACTACTCAAATTCCTCGATGGTTGTTGGCCTCTCTGGACCATTATCAAACAAATATAAGAACTATACAATTTCGATTAATTGGTTTAACAGCTTCCCAGGATTCAAAGAAATCATTACCGATATTCAATATATCGATGACAATGTCAATGAACTCTCAAACAATATCTTCTCTCTACTCGATAAAACAAATCTTAATCACTATTTAATCGTAAGAGGTAACAACACCTACTATTTGACCAATACCAATCTCTCCTCATTTAAATTCAAGACCTACAAACTTGCTACCGATGGAAATTTAATTACATCAATTATTAGTGTCAGAGATTCCAAAGTTTATGTTAGTTTAAACTATAAAGAAGAGATGTCATATATTTACGAATATAATTTAAATAGCAACCAATCAAATCAAAATGTAGACCCATCTGCAACTATTGATCAAATATATCCAACTAATAAAGCAGAAATAGATTATGTTCTCCTAGAAGGTCATTCCGAAAATACAAACTATGGTATACTCCACACAAGAAATAAGTTTTATTTTGTAAATGCCGAAAATGGTGAAATCACATCCCAAGATGTTTTTTTAGATATCCCATCAAACCACAAAATTAAAGACATCTATATTAGAAACGACAGAGAATTTAATCCAATTGCAAGTGAAAAGAGAAAAAACAATGGATATGGCTACAACTACGATAGCTATAATGACGATAATGACTACAACATTGGCTACAATAATGGCTACAACAACAACAAAAACAATAATAAAGATGGAAAGTTAATAATTATGGCAACAGTAATTCCATCAGGTATTATCGCATTAACATTAATTGGGGCAATTGTTTATATAGTTATACTTAGAAAGAGAATAAATAATGAAAATTTAAAAATAGAAAAATGTTAAAAAGTTAATTTATTAAAATTCCTTTAAAATTAGAAAAAAAAAATAAAAGAAAATAGTTTTATTAATTTTAAATAAATATACAAAATGTTTAATATTATAAAATTTATTATTATTATTATATTTTATATTATAATATTGGCAAATGATTAAATAGAGTTATAGTAGTTATAGTAGTAAAATTGATTTATTTTAATTTATATATGATTGAAAAAAAAAATATATTATTATTATATTATTATTATTATTATTTATTAATTAGTTAAATTGCTAATGAATGAATAGAAAGCAAATTCTGGACTACTTAAACCATATTGATAAACGAAACGACTAGCTAAATAAGCACCAAAAATTGCTTTAACGTATGGTACTGGTACACGTTCCATAATCTTATCTACACCTAAGAGATTTAATAAAACTTTTGGACAAGCAGCTGAAACGATTTTACGTCTAAGTTCAATGTTATCCCAAAGTGGTGAGGTTTGAATTGAATCGTTTAATGAATTGATTTTATTTGAAATGAGATCTGTAAGAATACAACGTGAAGTTTTAGAAATTTCGTGTTCAGCCCAAATACATTCAAATTCGAGACGAGCATTGTTTTCAATGGCATAGTGAACATCTTTAATATAAGCTTCATAAAATTCTGGAACAACATTATCCTTGACACACATATGTTGATCAAACTCTTCGTCGCTAAGAGCTAAAGCGGCTAAAACTTCTAATGAGGATGAAGTAACACCACCTTTATTGGCTGAGGCATCTTTAAAGATAACAGCACCTTTTTCTTCTAACATTAAACGAGCTTTTTGGGTAAAGAAGAGGTTAGCACCTTCAACAATAATTGGGAAACGTAATTCACCAGAGTTGGTAAACATTTTATCGACATTAGTTAATTGAACAGATTCTGGTCTACCACCGCATGGTACAAAGATATTGGCAGTGCAAAGTGGATTTAAGTGGAAATTATTTCTGAAGATTAAACCACTTTCAACAATATCACCATTTGGTAATTTGAAGTCAGTGTCTTGAACATCAACAAAGAAACCTTGAGCGCTTAATTTGCTCTTTTCAAAGTAACGAGCCATTTGACGTTTACCAGCAAGACGAAGGATTTCTTCACGGTCAAGACCTTCTGGATCGAAAAGAACACCACTACCATCGACAATACCAATAGTTTTATCTTTAGAGATTTTAATTTCATTTGAACCCAAATCACCATCTGGACCACCAGTTTGGAATTTAGTACATTTGCTTTCATCTAAACCAAGTTTAGAAAGGATACCTAAAACGTATTGATGAATTGATCTTGTGGTCATACCATAGAGATCGTGTGGGATACCACCTCTGCTTAATGATTTACCAGTAGTAAAAGCTTTCCAGAAATGAGCACCACGAGTTTTGGCATGTTCTGAAGCCCAATTCATGAAATCAGCAGTACCTTCATCTGGACCTAAGAAGAGAATTTCGTCTTTGCCAAAGTGATCGACAATTTCACTATTTGGTAATAAGAGATCTAAAAGTGAATCAATGTATTTACGGAAAGCAACTTCAGCTTTACCTTGATGATCTGCAGATAAAAGAATAGTACCTTTTGAACCACCTTCTGGGATATCTTTGTTCTTTGATTGTTGAGTGTTGGCTAAATTGTAATTTTCATCGAATAATGATGAAGAGTTGTGATCATATTGGGTGCTGTTTTGTGATCTAATAATACGAATACCACCACGTGCAATATTACGGAAACGAATGTGGAAACCTCTGAATTCTGAACCAACAACAAAGAAGACAGCAAATGGAGTTGATGTATATTCTTTAGTTGAAAGGAAACCTGGATCGAAACGGAAGACAAGAGCAGTCTTGGTTTGTTTGTAAAAGTTAGTCTTGAGAAGGTGACGATTGAATGAAAGAATGGCTGAAAAGATTTGGCTATCTAATTCATTATTAACAGTTTTTTTAATTTGTTGAAGAATTTCAGTACCGTGTTGGACGTCATATTTTAAGGTACTGTTAAAGTGATACTTTTCGAAATCTTGATAAAGAACTTTAATAAGTTCTGGGTATTGAACAACAGCATCTCTAACACGACCTTCTGTGAAAGTATCTTTGCTAAGACGAGTTTTTAATTGAGCTAACATTGATTGTTTAGTTGAATCATCACCAATTGCAGCAGCTAAAGCGCTATATTCAGTGGCGTATCTATTTAAAAATTGATAAGCAAATTTCCAACAGACGTAAGCATAAGTAACTTCTGGGAATGATAATTGATGAGTTAAAAATAATGAGGTTAATGAAGTTCTTGGTAAAACATAAACTAATGAAGCCTATAAAAGAAGAGAAAAGAAAACCATTAATATATTTTTTATCATTATTAAAATCTTTATAATTAAAAATACTTACTTGTTCAGCAATCTTTGAAATTTTAGTGTTAATATCAACATCTGGGTGTAATGGTCTTAAATAAATTGAATAAATTGTGATACCATTAGCAAATTGTTCTACATATTTGTGGGTGGCATACATTTGGTGGTAGTGATATAATTCACCAATAGCTGACCAGTAAGAGTGAGTTGAACCACGTCTGTAGGCAATAACTAAACGAGCACCATTAACTTGATATGGGTAATGTTTGATGACTGGACCAAGTTTACCAACGACTTCATCCATAACTTCTTGATAAATTTTTTTGGTGACATCTGATGATTTTTCGAGGAATGAAAGATCACCAATTTTGTAGAGATCAGTTTCATTAGCTAAGAGAGCATCGTTTTTGCTGGCAGAAAGAGCATCGGTATGTGGGAAAACTGGTTTGGTTAAATAATAGAGACGGAGATGAACTGGTGATGAATTTGAAACGGTACCAGTAGTACGGTAACAAGCTAAACGGAAACCATGTGGTGGTGGAGCAGCAGCTGGTTTTGGGGAAAGGAATGGAGTGGTTGAAAATTGGGTTGGGTTAAGGAGTTGTTCATCTTCATGATAACCTTCACCAAAGTAGTGTGATTCAATGGCATGTTCGATCATCATAGCTGGTGAATCTCTTTTACCTGGATTTGATGGAGTGATAAAAGTGGCTGAACCTTCAGTTTTACTGTGGAGTTGAACTTCTAATTTGGCACCAGTGGCGTGTGAAACCATTTTAGCGGCATAGAGTGAAAGGATATGACGAGCAATAACAACAGCTGGTGTGCTGTCAAAGTAATTGCTATCAAGACCTAATTTGCAATAGAACCAATCTACTTCAGCATCAACTCTGGAGTTTTCAATTAAACGCTCTGATTTAAGTAAAACTTTAACTTCGTTGGCTTGTTCTTTGTATTGGTTTTCTTCCATCAATACTACTAAAGTATCACCATCTTCTTTAGTAAAGTATTGTGTTTTTGGTTGTGCTGCAATTTCTTGACTAATTGTAAGATTTTGATTTAACATCTTTAATTCTATATATATATATTGTTTTGTTTTTTTGTATATGCGGTTCTTATTATTTAATAATAATGTTTTGTTTTATAATAATAATAATAATAATAAATATAATATTATAATAATAATAATAAAATGTAATTTATACTATAATTATTATAATAATATAAAATATGAAAATAAAAAAAAATAAAAAAAAAAAGAGAAAAAAGAAAACAAAAATTAAAGAAATTTAAAAATTTTAAAATTAATAAATGGTTTTTTTTTTTTTTAAGTTATTTTTAAATTATTTTTCAATTATTTGTATTTTAAATAAATAAATAAAATAAAATAAATAAATAAAATATATTTAATTATAATTACACTTTAATAACACATATACAAGCACATATGTATATAATATAACGAAAAAAAAATCAAAAATTAATTTGTGAAAAAAAAATTTAGAAAAAATTAAAAAAAAAAAATTTGAAAAAAAAAAAAAAAAAAAAGAAAAAGAAAAAAATCATACATTAATTGTGGGGTGTGGTGTGGCATAAATTATTACATAAGATGTTTAAGGAAATAAGATTATATACTTACATATTTTTTTAAAATGTAAAAATAGGAAATTAAAAAAATACTATTAAATAAATAAATAAATAAATAAATAAATAAATAAATGAGTAAATTTATATTATTTGTTGTGTGAATATATATAAATATTAATCTTTAATAAAAAAAAGTATTTGTTTCTTTTTGTAAAGTGATCAAAAAAAAAAAAAATTTTAAAAATTTAAAAAAATAAAAAAAACATATGATGAAATTTCAAAATAATAATTATTTTTTTAACAAAGCACCAAAAATCCCAACGTTTTTTTTTATGAATCCAGGTTTCGAAAAGTTCGTGGATACTGTATTAGTCAACAAAATGTGACACTTTTATAACTTTGTTTAATTGATCACTTTTACCAGCAACTATAAAAGTGTCATTTATTATATTGTTATTTCTTTGATTAATTTGCTGTTGTTTATAATGGAAATGAAACCGTGAAACGGAGTGATGTGAAGTGAATCTGTCATAGTGAGTCATTGATTAATTATTAAAAAAATGAATTACTTACTTTAATTTTTTTTTAAACAAACAAAAGAAAAAAAGTAAAGAAATAAAAATAAATAAATAATATAAATTAATAAATAAATTTAGTATTTATTTTTTTGTATATTAAAAAAATAATATATGAAAAATTTTTTAATAAAAAAACTAAACAAAAGTATTCGTTTAAAAAAAAAAAAAAAAAGAATCTTTTTTTTGTAAAGTGATCAAAAAAAATTAAAAAAATTAAAAAAAAAACACACGATGAA